TCGTGTCGATAGACAAAACCGTTTTTGTACAGCGCCGCTACAAATTTGAGGTATAATGCCAAAATGACTCTGAGGCTGTATCTCTGCAAAGCTTTAACATATTGACACCAAACTTTGTGTGTGCCATTGTCACATCACACAGAACACACCACATATATTTGGTAACAGCGCCACCTATTGGTCAAAAATGATAAGCCAATAAATCATATTACTAGTAGTTGTATTTATGATTTTGCAGCCATTTGGACTAAAATCATCTTAAAATTGTTTTAATTACTCATTGCTGCAGTTGGTCTGATGCTTGCTTCTGTAGTGCTTGGCCCCCTAATTGCTGCTTGCAGCTATGTTTTCATAATTACTTCTATTGTCTTTGTGTATTGCCGAAAGTACTGATTATAGTAAAGTGTAAAATATAATGGTAAACAAAAAATCTTTTGAAACTTGTATTAAGTTGAAATTTAGTATGTTTAAAAATGTCATGTTGAATAACACATTACAGTTAAAATGATAAAACTTCCGATTTACTATTTCTATTTAGTATTTACTTGTAATTTAGTATGTTAGTCAGCATATCAAAATAAGTGTACTTGTTTAAAGCACAACAAGAGATTATCAAAACAATTATTTAAAATGTACTTTAAATTGTGTTAACACTGAGTGTGTTTGAAAACATGGAAGTGTACTCTCTAAGTACTTAAGTGGTCTTTTATTTCATTAAGATTATAGAATCTGCAAGTACAGTTTTATAAAAAAATACTTTTAAAATTTGAAGTACATTGCACATGCACATTCAATACAATTAAGCACACTTCTTTATCATTAGGTGGCCTATAGCTAAGCTCCTCTTGTAAATTAGCATTAGCTAGTTTTAAACTTGATACACATATGTGTTTTTACTACAAGACATTATGTCTCAATTTGAGATATAAATATGACACCATATGTCAGTAGCCCTGCTTTTATTGACTTGTTAGCTGACTTTTCTTTCTTTCTTTTACTTAGTTAATCCATTAGCTACATGCAACACTATGCATGTTATATTTGAGCAACAGTGACAAGTCTGAAGCTGTATAGTGTTGTAAAACTTATACTGTGGATCCTGCTAATTCTCCTCTGAGTTCTTTAGGTTTAAGCAGAGTGATTAGCTTTAGCGCATTAGTGTTAGTGCCATGGCTAATGCCTGACTCTTACCTAACACATCACCAGAACATGAGCTTTACCCTAAACCCTAGAACCTGTGCCAACAATGCAACAACCACACACAACCAAACACTCACACAGCCAGTATGTGACCTTTTTGAAATTTTGTAATGGCCAAGAGAGAAAAATATAAAGAGTTCATTTGCAAAACCAGGAAATTCCATTTTTATTTATTTTCATGAATCCTGTGTTTTTTTTGTGTGTGTGTGTGTGTGTGTGTGCATTCCAAGTAATATCAATCAAACTGCAGATGGGTTGTTTTGAGTAAGTAATAATAACTCAAACAAATAAACTAAAGTTAATTGAAAGTTTTTTATATATAATAAAGTTTTTTTTTTTAGCAAAAGCAGATAACTCCAACATTTGTTTTTTGGCAAATGTTTCAGAGTTAAACAAAAACACTAATTTAATCTTTGTAATCTCCTCAGCTGACAATGTAGACACGTCAAGAAACAGCTTAGATGGCTACAGAAAATGAACAAGGACATTTAAAACATAAATCTGCAGTGACTTAATGATATGAGAAAGACAAATAACATATGAAGTGTTCATTTGCAAAAACCGATAAACACCACCTTTAAAAAAAAAATGAACTGACCGCTGTGCATTATTATCCATATATAGTGCGATCCAGTGAAGCTGAAGATATCACTCATACAAATCTAGTATTACTTGGCTTAGTAAATACCCAATTTCAATGGCTTGAATTCAGCCTTCTTTTCTTTGTTGACATATTTCCTTTTGAAACAGGAAGCTGACTTTACAACTGCAACTTTATTTTTCATAATGTAAGTTTGTAGGTCAGTATGATTTTTTTATTAGATATTTTTATTTAGCAAGGTTGCATTACATTTATGAAAAGTGACAGTAAAGGCTTGTACATTTTTACAAAAGATTTCAATTTTGAATAAATGCTGTTTTTTTTTTTTACTTTGAATTCATCAAATAATTCTGAGAAGAAAGTAGCATGGTTTTCACAAAAATATTAAGCAGCTCAACTGTTTTCAATATTGATAATAATAAATGTTTTTGAGCAGCATATTAGACTGATTTCTGAAGGATCATGTGACACTGAAGAGTGGAGTAGAATGGCTCATGCAAACTCATGCAGGATTGTCCGTCACATACTGAGACATTTCAGTGACAGTCACTGAGATGATCCTATTGCTATGTGGTTGCAGGTACTTATTTTTACAATATCAGTTAACCTGATGTGTTACTTAGCAATGCGTTAAAGAAGGTTGTGAGTTGATGTAGTTTTTGTTTTTGAGGTATCAGTGGCTCTCTTCTCTCTCTGCACTTTTTTTCATAGATCCTCACACTTCTTAGCTACTGATGGTTAAAAATAGAGCCCCAGTGGAGTCGGTTTGCCCAGTGAATGTAGGGCAGTACAGAGACAGAGGCACAGGCTCTCTGATGGAGTGGGGTCATGTTAGTATGGTCATGCAATTATCCACAGTTTCACTTCATTTGTAGTGTGGCGGGAAACTCACCTGATACTGAAGTCAACAACAGAGAGAGAAAAAACTAAAATGAGCCTATAGTGAAAGTCATTTTCAAAACAAACAAGTGGATTAAAATGAACTGAAATGAGACTGATATTGAAAACAAAATTATAAAACAAAATAATACACACTTACCCGCTCATCCATCCATCTCCTAACCTCTCTCCTCCTCTCCATCTGTTCATTCACCCAGCATGATCAGAATCAGTGAAGCTATGAAAAACATTAAGCTACCTCTAGGTATAATATTACATTGTTTTTAACAACTTGATAATTAAATCAACCTTTATAAAGCAAACTTTTAAAGTGATATCTATAGTCTTTTTAATCAACAGTAAATATCTGTATTATGTGCCACGACATGGAAACAAAAGTATAATGATTGAAACCAAAACCAGGTTTGGAATGCATCTTACCCTGTCATATTAGATTTTACAGTATAGCAATATGTGTTATTTTGATAGAATCACTGTTTCTGGTTTTGCAGTTGTTGTAATTGTTCATAAGGGCTGACTTTAGTTGTTTTTTCTCAAAAAAATACACTTTTTAGCTTAACATTCAACAACAGTCGCTCTTTGAATCAGTGAAATTGACAGCTACGAGGCACTGTGATATCTGCTGAGTCACTAAAATCATAACTACGCAGGCTAGAATGGAATATTATAAGTAATAATATTCTGTACAATAACAGATAAAAACTCTACAGAGACCTTTTCTGCTTACACATTTTTTAATATCTGGGACATATTTATCACTTTAGTAGCATTTTTGCCTCAAGCCTGGATCATTGCTGACCCTGGTCTCTGCACATTAAACAAGTGAAAGGGATTTTTTTGTTTTTTGTACATTTCATGCTGCATTTTAATGTACAAAATGACACTTCACAATTAGGGAAAGATTAAGATCCTCCAGTTTTTACAATAATTATCACTGTATGGTTTCTTCTTGTTTTGTAGACTGAGGCAGGGAGATACTCAGGTGTCACCACCAATGCTCATTTTCTGATCCCTGTTGTGTGAGTGTGTGTGTTTGTGCTTCTCAAGCCCTTTTGTGACACCATTGCCGTCGACCTTCAGATAAACATTGAACTGGAAAACTGTCATCCGCCACAAATAGCCGCAGTAATAGAGAGAAGGACAGAGAGACAACAAGGGGTGGCCAATGTGATGAGAAGCACATAGAGACAAGGAGAATTGGTGTGGAGGGGGTGTGGTGGTGCCGTCACTAACTGCTGATGAGAGCTGTCACTGCCACACATCAATAAAGCCCTCTTGAGGACACTTTAAAAAATATTTCCACCTGAATCACACACACATACGTATTCTCTTTTTAGCATCTGAATTTCACAAACAACGCATGCACACAGTCGAATTCACCTCAAGGTCACTTGATGTAAGAAGCTTTGTGAGGCACAGCATGCCGTTACAGATCAGGTCAAACTACTGCTCTGGTGTGCAGCTCTCGTCTAGGATGCTGTATTTATTTAACAATATAATACAGCTGCAACAAAACAGTACAGTGATGTATAATCTTATTAGTAGAAACATAAAATATGGCTTATGAAAATATGCAAACAAATAAAAATATGAAAAAAAGAATCCATGAGTACTTTAGAGGAAATTTAAATAAAAAGACAACAATTAAATTTGATATTAACCGATAAAAAAAACAAAAAACCTCCCTTTACATGGTCATGGAAAAATATGAGATGGGAGGAAAAATGTTATTTTATTGCTTTTGTGTTCCTTCTCAATAGTTTTACATTTTCCATGAAAAACATTCTTTCTTTTTGCAAAACATTTTCTTTCAGAAAAATATTCCATTCCCAGAGAAGCTATGCATTCGTTTCCATTTTTGTTTCCAGTTGTTCTCCAGTTTTGTGAGTGAATACAAAAGTTTTGCTAGTGAACGCAAATGTTAAGCACATGAATGCAAAAGTACTGCATGTGAACATAAAATGTTTGCAAGAGAACACTAATCGCTTGCAAGAGAATGCAAAACACTTTGCAAGCGAATGCTATTTTTTCAGTGTAACGCAACAGTTTTTTGAATGAACGAAAGAGCATTTATATTGATTTTTGCTACCATCTAAATTTTTCCCATCACCATGTCCCTTTATGGGCTCCATAGTGTCATATTAGAAAAGGGTGTAAAGGGTGTATAGGTTTTTCTTTTTGGCTAGATTTGAGTCAGAATAACAACACTAATTTTTAGAATAATCATTGTTTAATCATTGTCGCACTAAGTATGTTAAAATGCTAAAATTCTTGCTCTTGTTCCTCTCCTCTCATGCAGATAAATCAGATTTAATCTTCCAGAAGAAGTCCACTGATGACAGGGATGACCTGTACACCTCCCTCTTGTCCAATCAAAGCTATGCCTCACATGAAGATACCTCCTACTTTTCTGGCAGCATGGGCAGATCTGGTGACAAAAATGCATCCAGCACAGAAGACTTCACCTCTGGATCCCATTTCCAGTTGACCTTGGACTCCGGCATCAAGAACCCCAGTGCAGAACCAACCGACAGCTCTCACAAGATACAAGCTTTTGACTCTTCTTACAACTATATGGACATCAGTCGTAAAGAGGACTCCTGTAGTTCACAGCGCCTCCTTGAGGACTGGAGGATGAGCGGCCTCTCAGAGCCCACCCAGTACACTAAACTGGAGAAGAGCCCATCACCGGTAGAAGTGGATGTGGAAGACATTGGCTCTGCTGCAATTCTGGACTCTCAGACCTTCCCATATGTGGAGGAACCATCTGATGAAGAGCTGTCTGACTACCAGCCCTATCGGTCTCCAGGTACCGGCAGCAGTGCCAGCCCAGTAAAAATCACCCTGACAGAAATGCCACCTACATCTGTATCGCCCACTACAGTCCAGCACAGCCCCACAGTTACAGTGTCAGAGAAGGAGAGCATTCTGAGTCTGGGGCTGGAGGGAGTGCCAACCGTCACTCTCTCAGAGCCTGAGGATGAAAGCCCTGAGTCATCTACACCCCCTACAGGTGGGCATCACCATCCCACACAAGCACTTCACTGTAATGTATCCACTAAACCACCTTTAATTCCTCTGCTAGCTGACCCTTTGCTTCTGTGTAGGTGTATTTGACAATCTGGAAACTTTCATACGTTTAAATTTATTCATTTGATTTGCTTTTATCTAAAGAGAATGAAAAATTAGCATTTCTATGACCAAATCTGGTGGAAAAAGCAGCAAAACCAGTTCCAAACAATTTGGAAAAGTTCAAGTTAGGACAGAAAAAGGGTGAGGCCCAATGAAAAATCAGGGTAGTTAATGTTGGCAGAGTACCGTTTAAAAGTTCACCACGATAAGACAAAACATCATTAAGCTACTGAGGTAGCAAAAATGAGCATTCACAAACATTTTCAAAATCAATAAATTGGTGATTCTTCAGCTTCAGGCGCTTTTTTATGCCCTAGGGATTGAGGAGTTTAAAACAAATGGAATTCAGCCTTTTTTCCTTTTTATTACATGAAGCTGACATTATGCCGTCATCATTTATTTTGCAACTTTTCAAATTATTTTTAGGTTTAGATTTTATTGTTTTAGCTTTATCCCAGGCCCAAAGTCTGCTGGAATGGTAAACGTGATTTCACCAAGTACAATATGTTCCTGGATCAACATCCTGGTTGATCCTGGAACAACATCCCAGGCAACCAATCCATTTCGAGGAATACGTTTACAGGAAATGTCAGTTTTAGGCTTACAACAAGGGTTATTCAGCTATCATTTCTCTTTGATTTTAGGGATAAATTATGGGTAGGGTTAGGTTTAGGGGTAGAAATAGGGTTAGGTCTATATTTTTGGACAGTAATGTTGTCCCAGGATCAACAAAAGATGGTGATCCAGGAACTTGTCTGACTTGGCAAGTTGATCTTCTAGAATCCACCAGGTCAAAAGTGCCCATAGTTGAGGAAACACCCAATATTTAAGAGCAGTGGCTCATTGACTATTATTGGCTGTACGTTACACAGTAATATAATAACACACACATGCTTACACTGTGGGATGCCTTGGCAAACCAGATGGCCACAAGACACCTTACCTTACTCCCTGTCCTTTATCTCTTCTTCTCTTTCTTAATAGAAGAGTCTGATTCTCCTTTGGATCCAAACATCCAGGCTGATGAAACTAAAATAATGAGTTCCACCCAAGACAAGACTCAAACATCTCCCATCTCACCCTCTCCACCTACTTCCAAGCAGGAGAGTTCCCCAATAGAGATGAAGTCTTCCCCCCCAAAACCTACCTTGCCTCCTTCCCCCCAGGATGTCGAGGGTAGCAGTGCCGAATCTGGAGACTCTGAGATTGAGCTGGTGTCTGAGGAGCCTAGTCCACGAGCTCCCAACACTGGCTACATGAGCTTCAGTAAGAGTCCCAGCACCACTTCATCAACCACAGTACCTTCCACAGTGCCCGCCACATCTTCTACCCTTGCGTTTGTCCCGAGTCCTGTAATGCAGTACAGCATCTTGAGGGAGGAACGTGAAGCAGAGCTGGACAGTGAACTGGCTCTGGAGTCCTGCGAAGAGGAAAGTCCCAAAAGATTGACCCACGACTCCACAAAGGGTTTCAAGGAGAGCCCACAGCCAGTCAAAAAACCCACAACCCTGACTTCGGCAACTAAAGAACCAGTCGTGACTCCCACTGCACCTTCTTCGACTGTTCCGGCCCCAGCCAGTGCTCCTAAAGAGAAGACATCCACCATGGAAGAGAAGCCCAAGCCCAGCAGCACAACCCCCAGTCCAGGTCTGCCAGAGCTGAAGGTGGAGCATCTTGCTGGGGAGGTTCACCAGAAAGAAAGAAGACGGTCCAGTCAAGCCCGCAGGGGCTCTGAGAGAATGACTGCACCACCCGTCGTCTTCCAGGGTCTAACCAGGGAGAAAGGTAAAACCATGTTCCCCAATAACTTATAGTCACCTCAAAACACAAGTTCTTATTGTCACTATCTTGAGTTATTCCATTTGAGCACAGTAAAGGTTGAACAACGGGTTTTTTGCGTAGTTCTGTCGCTCATCTGTCTGTCCAAATACACAACACAATACGTAATCAAACATTTGGATGAAAATTCTGTCATTAATTACTCACTCTCATGTCACCCTCACCTGTAAGACCTTCGGAACACAAATTAAGATATTTTTGATGAAATCCGAGAGCTCTCTGACCCTCCATAGACAGCAACGCAACTACCACATTCAAGGTCCAGGAAGGTAGTAAGGACATTGTTAAAATAGTCCATGTGACATCAGTGGTTCAACTGTAATTTTATTAAGCTACGGGAATACTTTTTGTGCGCAAAGAAAACAAAAATAACAACTTTATTCAACAATTCTTCTCTGCGTCACCCTAGCGCCATTTTGGAGAGTACCACAACGCTTTCCTCTAAATGTAAATAAAGCACAGTGCGTGTTCTATGTCAGTTGTTTAATTGCAGGAAAAGCACGCGCGTGTATCGTAATACTCTCCAAAATGGAGCTAGGGTGACGCAGAGGAGAAGAATTGTTGAATAAAGTCGTTATTTTTGTTTTCTTTGCGCACAAAAAGTATTTTCGTAGCTTCATAAAATTAAGGTTGAACCGCTGATGTCACATGGACCAATTTAATGATGTCCACGTTTCTGTGCCTTGATCGTGGTAGTACCCTTGCTGTCTATGGAGGGACAGAGAGCTCTCAGAATTCATCAAAAATATCTGAATTTGTGTTCCGAAGATGAACGAAGGTCTTATGGGTTTGGAACGACATGAGGGTGAGTAATTAATGACAGAATTTTCATTTCTGGGTGAACTGTCCCTTTAATGCAAGTACAGTATATGCATGCAAGTGTATAAATGCCTTTATGGCCCCAGTAAAACTACTATTTACATTTGAATCATTCTTTCTTAGTAATTCAAGTCTCACTATCAGGAAATAATTCTCTTAAAGAGACAGTTCCCACAAAAATGAAAGTTCTGTCATCATTTACTCACCCTCATGTCATCCCAAACCTGTTTGGTATTCTTTTTTCTGTGAAACATAAAAGGTGATGTTCTGAATTGTTGGTAACAGATTTGTTGACCAGTGACCAAAACAACACTTTATTTTATGAGACATTATTTTATGAGATATTTTATTTTATTTTATTTTATTTTATTTTATTTTATTTTATTTTGTTTTGTGAACTATCCCTTTAAGGCGAAAGACCTGTAATAGCTGCAATTAAAATAAAAACTGACTCAAGCTTGTTGGCCTCACCCTGGAAACTCCCTTTGGCTTTAACAGCAGGAAAAAAGCACATTTCAATGCATCAGTCCCTTGAGAATCAGTCATTACTGGGCATGCACAGGCTAGCTTACATGTAATATTTTCCTAATATTATATAAAGGCAGGATAATTGGTAATGTGGAATTTAATACAATTTCTCTTAGATATCAGTGCGTTTGCAAGCACTTTGAAAGTAACAGACCTAGATAATGTGATTGTTCAGAATTTATACAAATTAATCAAAGCTGTTATGCACTTGCACTAAAAGAAGGTGATGAGGCTCAGATTTCATAGAGCCATTTCCTGCTTAACTGTTCACTGCACATGTGTCATTGCTTTTCTTCATCATCCAACAGAAGTGGTCCAAAGAAATACAACACAATGTTAGATGACATTTCTAATCATCCCCAGAGCTCAAGAAGGTCATGCACATGAAATATCAATTTTACAAGACACATTTCTCACACAGCCCCTGAGCCTTTAGATGGGTGGCTAATGTTTTAGGTTTTTTTTCACACCTGACTGCTCCCTGCATCTGTTGTTTGTGTCTTCAGGATTCAGCAGAGCTCAGTGGAAATATCATGTTTGAAACCGTGAAAAATTATTATGGAAGATCTGGCTGACCTACAGCAGTTTGTGCTTTATAAAACCATATGGTTTATGAAAAACATTTTCATTCCTTCAGTGATGGGAACAAATCCCAGTAATGAGTAAGGGATATACATAATGAAAAATGGATGGCTGTGTTGCTCTGTTTATATGATCCTAATCACGATTTAAAAAACTAAATCAATAAAAATATTTATTGCTTTAACAATTAGTTTTATAAAAAAAAAAATAGTGAGAAAAAAGTGAAATATATATATATTAAACAATTAAATCTTTTTTTAATCAATTAGATAAATTTTAATATTTTTTCAATTATAGTTTTGACTAAATAAATAATTATCGACTTCATTGTGTATTAGCAGCTGAGTACGTCATTTGTTTGTGTCTGTTGAAGGCAGTCACCATCTTTTATTAATGCTCTGGCTTGGGGCTGGACTGTTGTTTGAAGATTTCAGAACAAAGCATCCCCCTGTGGTTCAGGTCAGTTTCTATCTGCTACATGTGTGACCAGCGAGTGCTGCCGTCTTGTGATTATATAGCCACACCGCAACATGGGAGGAGGAAAAATTGCACAAATCATATAGTGAGATAAAAAGGCATGGATTTCATTTCATTTGGGGTTCATAATTCCATTCTTGACAGATGAATATTTAAGTATATCTCGGCAAGTGGCTGGGATCCTGTCGTTCAATACTAATGCAACTGGAAAAAGCAGTTTTCAAGTCATGTTTGTCTTATAATCAATTAATTTTCTAATACAATTAATGTTTTATATGATGCTTGTCAGTCAATATATTCATCTTTACAGCACTTTGAACCATGGATACGTGTTTGTAAAAAGAGATCAGCTTTACTGTAGTGTGTGTGTGTGTGTGTGTGTGTGTGTGTGTGTGTGTGTGTGTGTGTGTGTGTGTGTGTGGGGCACACAGT